GGTCTGTATCTGGAAGTCCCACAGGATCTTCTCATTCTCCACCACCTTTGGAGGAGTTTCCCACTTAGACCTTGGGGTTTCCAGCCCATACTCTGCACAGATGTTTCTGGACACTATGCCAGCCACTTGGTTATGGCGTTCCATGTAGGCCTTCCCTGCAGCATCTTGCACCCTGCAGTTATGTGTTGGATCGTCTCAGGTGCCTCTTTGCACAACCGACACCTTGGGTCTTGTCTGGTGTGGTATATCTGGGCCTCTATCGCTCTGGTGCTCAGTGCCTGTTCCTGTGCAGCCATGATGAGTGCCTCTGTCCTGTAGGCCAGCCCTTTCTAGCCATTGGTAGGACTTCTTGAGATCAGCCACTTCTGTTATGCTCCGGTGGTACATGCCGTGTAGGGGCTTGTTCTCCCATGATGGGCTCTCCTCCAGCACCTCCTCATCTCGCCACTGCCTGAGACATTCACTGAGTACGTCATCCGTTTTGGCCTTCTCCATGATGTAGTTATGGAGTTTGGATGTTTGGTCCTGGACAGTGGCTCTCACACTCACTAGTCCTCGGCCTCCTTCTTTACGGCTTACGTACAGTCTCAGGGTGCTGGATTTGGGATGGAACCCGCCATGCATGGTAAGGAGCTTTCGAGTTTTAACATCCGTGGTCTGAATCTCTTCCTTTGGCCACCTGATTATTCCTGCAGGGTCTGATCACTGGCAGGGCGTAGCTGTTAATTGCCCGGGCCTTGTTCTTGCCATTGAGCCGGCTTCTTAGGACCTGCCTTTCTCGCTGGAGGAATTTGGCAGTTGCCGCTTTCCTTGTCACCTATTCGAGTTTGCCATTTGCCTGTGGTATACAGAGATACTTGTAACTGTCCTCAACGTCTGCTATTTATATATATATATATATATATATATATATAAAAATTGTCCACTCACCTTTGGCCCTCCGCGGGCGGTTATCCCTCTCTAAGCTCGGGTCCTCTACCAGAGGCCAGGGAGCTTGAGGGTTCTGCGCAGTATCTTTGCTGTTCCTAGCACTGCACATTTCTGGACCGAGATGTCCGAGGTTGTTCCGGGGATCCGCTGTAACCACTCATCTAGCTTCGGGGTCACTGCCCCGAGTGCACCGATCACCACGGGCACTACTGTCACCTTTACCCTCCAGGCCCTCTCCAGCTCCTCTCTGAGACCTTGGTATTTCTCAAGCTTTTCATGTTCTTTTTTCCGGATGTTACCATCGCTTGGAATTGCCACGTCCACCACCACGGCTGTCCTCTGCCCTTTGTCTACCACCACGATGTCAGGTTGGTTTGCCATTACCATTCGGTCGGTCTGTATCTGGAAGTCCCACAGGATCTTCGCACGCTCATTTTCCACCACCTTTGGAGGAGTTTCCCACTTAGACCTTGGGGTTTCCAGCCCATACTCTCCACAGATGTTTCTGTACACTATGCCAGCCACTTGGTTATGGCGTTCCATGTAGGCCTTCCCTGCCAGCATCTTGCACCCTGCAGTTATGTGTTGGATCGTCTCAGGTGCCTCTTTGCACAACCGACACCTTGGGTCTTGTCTGGTGTGGTAACCATGAAGGTACAAATAAGCAATGAGATGCCGGATCAGCCGTCGCCCGGCCAAACAAGGTCTGCGTCAGGTGCTGGGGAACCAGAGCACCTTGATGAAAAGTGGGCTACTGGAACAAGGCGAAAGTGGACGAGATGCGATATATATAGATATATGTAAGGTGAGGAAAAGGGCAGGCGCCAGTCGGGCGTGAATAGCGGCCCCTTTTCGTAAACATGCCCCTCCTGAGCTCCTGAGACTTCAAAGAAACTACGGGTTCAATGAAAGGCTAAACATTTGCCAGGACACTGCAAGAAGACCCAGAGGGGCAATAAAACAGCAGAACAAACATCGGTGTGCCCTTCTGCCTGACAGAGATCAGGAATCATTCATCCGCGATCGCTCACGGGACATTCCACAATCTGAGACTCACCCACGGCGTTCTGGCGCCCCCCAGTGGACACTGAACACTATCACACCCGGCACGGACATTGTGTAGACCAGCCCCGGACTCAGTATTATCCCAATAAGTCTGTACCGTGCCCTACATGTGTGTATCATTGTCAAGTAATGAAATGCGGTGTGTGTTTGTACATGTGTTATGATCGTCTGTATTAATCCTGCGTGTTTCCATTGTAACCTGTCTGTTGTGAGGGGGTTGTCCAGGGAAGACGCACAAGGATGACGTCACGGACGCGCCCCCTCTTGAAGTCAATATAAACACGCACAATGCAGTGATTCTTCCTCTTGGTTCTTCCCGAAATCACTATCGCAACTATCCTATTTGGTACGTGTCTCCTACACAGCCTACGCCCGCCACCATCTCGGGCCTGTACTTCCACTCCGAACACAGACCTCCTTCCTGGCTCGGATTGTATGAACTATTCCACCTCCAGCCTCTTTCCTGGCTCTGGACTCTACGCACGCAACTCGTTCGGAATGAGTTGTATATGCACGGACCCAAAGTTGGACTGCATCGCTGGCTTCGTATCTCCCGCCTGCCCGGACAAAGAGACCACGTGGAGGAGAACATCGCCTCCACTATTCTCCATCATCATCCTTCCATCTCCATCCTCCCTCGTCTTCTTTTCATCACCCATCTCCCTCGAACGGCTCAAAGTAAGACTGTTCTTTTGTTGGATGTGTGATTCAAATGAGATGTATACAACTTCTGTTTAATGTGACCAGAAATCCTTTTCGTTATATTTTCTATCCTCATTTTTGTAGTCAATAAATTCACGTTAAACTTTAACTCAATCATTTAAGCGTCGTGTTTTTAAGTCTCGGATATCACTGGCCGATATACGCATTCACTACCTATTAGATTATAAGACTGACTCGAGGCAAAGTAGTTGGATCTGTGCAGAAGTTTAACTCTGCTGGTGCCCTAAAAATAAAAGCAGATCCTCACTTGTGTGCAACGGCGAGCCTCTGATCCGGAGACCCGCCGATCCACACTACCAAATTTATACTACAATAAGTTACAATAACATATTATTACCCTACATATATATATATGTGTGTATGTATGTATGTATATATGTGTGTATGTACGTATGTATATATGTGTGTACTGTATGTATGTACTATGTATTCACATCTTCAAAGATATCAAAAACATTTGTTGACTGTATCTTTGTGACACTGAACGATGGAATCCCCAAAGTTCAAAAACACATGAAACACAAACCAGCTTTATTTATAAAGCACTTTTAAAACATTTTACAGTTCAGCCAAAGTGCTGTACACAAAAAACAAACACATTAGACTAAAAATACATATATAAAACAATATTACCTAAGATCAAACATTATCAAAAGCAAGTGAAAAAAGAGTTTTAAGAAGTGACTTTAAGACAGGCAGAGACTGAGCCTGTCTAATCTCAGTGGGACCGGTTCCAAAGAGGTGAACCTGCAAGCCGTGTGGGTCAGAGGCGATCAAACACATGTAGGTGATGTTTTTTCCGTTGTGTCGAAGTGAAACGTGAGCGAGTATAAAACAGAAGCCTCCGACACTCACAGTCAGACTGTGGCAGCAGGGACACGGTGAGTACCACTTCCTGTTCACTTCTATTCATCTGGTCTTTGATGCAGATGCGGAACTAAAGATTTAATGTTTAGAGAGAGCTGTGGGTGCAAAATGTTGTGTAGTTAGTGAGTGGAAGAAATGGTCTTGAATGCTTTGTATGAGGTGTATTTAGCGACTTTTAGAACTATATTGTTTGTGTCTCCTGTATTGGGAGATTCTTCTTGTCCAATAAGTAACAAATACAAAACTAATCAACCAACGCCAAAACTAATCAACCAACGCCAAACACACGGGACACACCACTGAAGATAGATAGATACAGATTGCAGTTTACAGACAAAGCCAAAGCCACAACACAGTTCCTTATCTGAGACCATGGACCTCAGTCACCACAAACACACGAGCTACTTTCACATTTGCAATGGCACCATTTATTCAATTGGACCAGGACCAGAGAAACTCACTGGACTCAAGCCTGAATTATTAATCTTAGTATGAATATCTTAAGTATACGATCATGAAAAAACCATCCGACCATGCAGACCCCAAACTTGCCTGGTCTTTTGAGTCTTACATTGCATTCTGGCTACTTTCGGTAAACTTGGGGTTTTGAACAAGACCACGCATTGTCATACGATCTATTATCGACTACAGCCATCTCCAACCCGTTTGGTGCTACGGACCGGTTTAGTGTTAGACAATAATAGCACATCCCGTCCATACACATTCGCCTCATTCATTCCTCCAGGCGTCATTTTCTTTAGACTGCGTTTTTATTACTTTATTATGAGCCTATGTACGGCTCGTGGGAGTATCTTTATAACGCGCTTAGGACAGAAAAACATATATTTACACTTCAGCAAGACCAAGATGTAAGAAGAGAATCTTGTCATTTTTTAAAATAAAGGATCATTTAGATTGTGGCTGAGTTGGTAGTAGTAGTAGTAGTAATCTGTATTTATATACCGCCTTTTCACTGGCTCACTCCACACAGAGATGGGAGCGGGGCCAGTACAGGAGGCACATGCTAGAACTATTGGACATATTTTTAGTGGTAGGGGAAACCGGAGTACCCGGAGGAAACCTACGCAGACACGGGGAGAACATGCAAACTCCACTCAGAAAGGCCCTGGTCCGACCGGGATTCGAACCCAGGACCTTCTTGCTGAGAGGCGAGAGTGCTAACCACTCAGCCACCGTGCCGCTATACGTTGGTAGAGTATTGGCCTTTAAGCCTGAAGGTTGTGGGTTCGAGCCCAACCACAAGACCTTCTCCACCGACTCCCACAGATGTGGGGAGGAGGAGGACCGCTTTACGAAGGATATGTCTCGGTAAAGCAGAGAGGTCTATGGTGTAATTGGATGTTTGGTAAGGCTATTTTCCATCTTCCCAGTTGGCGTCACCTTCTCGTAGAACCATGTTTGGACTTCTCGTCACCGTGCAGCTGTTGTTGCTCGCTCACAACAGCCGTCAGTCCTGCTCTGAAGGAAAACCCAAAGATTGTCAAGAGGCCGACTTTGCTCCTGGGACAACGTTGGGTGGCGAAGGTTTCGACATCACCAAAATGGAACAGAAAGGAGTTTTTGTGATCGATATGAATCAGTGGAAGCGGAAAGACAAGACCTGCCTCTTGTGTTCGAACCCATTTATGGAAAACAAGAAGCAGAAGCTGCCTCTGTCGGTGGTGGACTGGAGAGCCAAGCAGTCGTGCTCTGCCAAAGTGTCCAGCAGCCTGCATAAGTCCAGCGAGAGTCTAGTCAGCTCCAAGACCTCGGCCATCGAGAACAACTGGAAGGGGAACCTAGACGTCAATGTGGGTTCAAAAAGTGGCAGTCTGATGCTGGCTGGAACTCAGTCCAAACTCGCAGACTACTCCATGCAGAAAACAATAAACGACAAATACAGCTTCTCCAGTCAGAGCATGTCCTGCAAGTTCTACGGGTAAACTTCAATGCTTTGATGATTACTAATAAAGATATTATATTGTGGATAACGCTGCTCTATCTCTTCTTTCAGATACCGTATATCCAGCACCCCAAAGTTGCACCGGGAATTTCGCAAAGCATTAAAACAACTCCCCGAAGTCTACAATGCGAAAAGCAAACAGCAGTTTGATGGAATGATTGACAAGTTTGGTACTCACTATATCACAAAGGTAAAGGAGCCAATCTCACAAAACGCTTTGCAATTGTTGTGACATTTGTCTCTCACACAGAGAAGGGAGCGGGTTCACCATGCAGGAGGCACATGCCAGACCTATTGTACATATTTTTAGTGGTAGAAGAAACTGGAGCACCTGGAGAAAACCTTGCTGTGTGTGTTTCAGGTGCAGCTCGGGGGCAGTGTGCAGTCAGTGACCAGTATCCGGGAGTGTGAGGTCAATCTCCAGGGCCTCAGTGTGGAGGAGGTGCAGGCCTGTTTGGAGGTGGAGGCCTCAGTGAGCGCTGGTGCATCTGTGTCCAGTCACGCTGAGTCCAAACATTGTAAGAGTGAAATTAAGAAGTCCGAGAGCAAGTACTCCTTCTCCAGCTCCTTCAATGACAGGTTTGGATTTTTATGCATACTTAAAGCTGTATGTACTGTAATAATGCATGTGTGAAACAGTCACTAGTAATGAATATACACTGCCACTATTTGTGCTTTCAGAGACATGTTGATAAAAAAAAACTAGCATAAAGCAAATAGCTTTATGCTAAAGTCATGTTGATTTGCATGCACTGCCGCACACAGGAAATAGTAACAAACACATAGGAGTCAATGGTTCGTAGAGAGCGGGGTAACCACTGTCCATATATGTTAAAAAATGTCCATGAATGTCCCAGATCATAACTGTCCTTAGACTGTCCTGCATCAAAAAGGAACAACAAAAAAATAAACAGTGGTAAATAAGCAAGAAACCTTTGGGAGGCCCACATATAGATGGACAAGCTGTGGTTCTAGGACTCGGATTGTAGGACAAGCATACACCATCATTTGTCCAAAGTTCAAACGTAAATCACCGTGATTTTTGTCATTTCCAGGTTCACAGAGATCAAAGGCGGCCACACCACCGAGCCCGACCTCCTCTTCTCCGCAGAAAAAGACCCTTCGGCGTACAAAGACTGGCTGAACTCACTGCCTCAACACCCAGACATTATCTCCTACTCCCTGCACCCTCTGCACGAGCTGCTCCCCGCCAAGTCCCCACCTCGCCTCAGCCTGCGCGCCGCCATCAGCCACTACATCCTGGAACGAGGACTGTGGAAGAACTGCAGCACGCCTTGTCCTGCCGGAGTCAAGAGCAACCACCGAGACCCCTGTGTTTGTCAGTGTCACAACCACGCGACTGTGACCCCAGACTGCTGCCCCAAAGAGAAAGGCTTGGCTCGAGTGGTCATCACAGTTCAGCGGGCGACTGGTCTTTGGGGAGACCAAACCACGGCCACAGACGGATATGTGAAAGTCTACAGAGGACAGACGCTTTGGAGATCACAGCAAATCAACAACAACAACAATCCTCACTTTGGGCACGTGATTGACTGGGGGGACGTGAACCTTCTGCAGGGGAATCGAGTTCGCTTTGAAATGTGGGACGCAGACAACCAATGGGACGACGACCTGTTGGGAGCGTGCGAGCGGGTTCTCACAGCGGGAGCAAAACAGGACGTGTGCAATCTCCAACATGGCCGCCTCTTTGTCAAGTGGGAGGTGAGGTGTGCTCCCAGCCTCAGCGGAGACCTCTGCACAGATTACAAACCCTCCCCAATGAGTTCGAGGCTGAGGGGGTGGTTCAAGTCCCGTAACGCACATCCAGTTCCAGAGGCTTTGCTGCAGGAGTGGGGAGTGTTCAAAAGTTCAGTGTCGAGCAACAAAACCAGAGTCTGAGGAAAAGGATTCAAATGTGGGAGTGTAAAGCACGTTCACACTTGTCTTGGTTCCCATCAAGTCTGACTCTACTTCATAAATATGTCTTTGTTCCTACATGCTCATTGGCTGCCATGTCTTTGTTATTATTGCATATGTGTCTATGTCCCTGCACTGCATAAAAAGGATTTAACATGTGGTAATAACAGCCTGAATCGAGTGGTTTTTACCTTAATCTGGGTTAATTCTGACAAAGCTATTTAGTCTCATCTCAAGATCGGTTGCTTCATTTCCTCATTCCAAGGGACACATTTCTTGTATCTTTTTAAAATAAGATAATTTTGTTGCAGTCAGAATTTTTTGATTTATTTTCCATACCTTTTTGCAGTGTATTTGTTTGTTATTAATGCACTGTTTGATTCTCTGATCTGTTTTTGCGAATTGACAACTTTGTAAAGTCCTCCGAGACGACTGCTTTGTGATTTGACAAGTTGCCGAGTCCGGCTGTAATTGTAGATTTGGTTCTGTTATGATGTAATTCAATCTACTATAAATACACATGTGGACTGTATATGGGCCTTCTTCTGCATCTGAATAAAAGATTAAAGAAATACAAATATTGTAATAATTTCATCTTTCATGGTGACTAAGCTTTTCTTCTTAAGCCACAACTCCTTCCACTTCACAGAAATCATCTGATGTGTGGTCGTTCAGGCTCCACTGACGGGAAACCAACTCTTAGTTTCATGTTTATTTTCACAGTCAGGGAAGGCTTTATATTGTGTGGCGTTAGAGAACAGGTCTTCTAGCTTATAAGACATTAAACCAGTAGCTCACCAGGGTAGCTCCCCAAAGCATTTATAGTTTAACAAATTATTGTAAATTATTATATTTTGAGTCATTACATATCCATTTTAAGTATAAATGAAGGGTTATGCTCGACTACGTCATCTGTTCATGTCCATGTTTGTAGTTATTATATTGTTATTTTATCATGACGACAAAAGGGAGTAGCTCTCTCTGACCTCTGCAATAGAGTGAGCTTCAGGAAGTCAAAATATGGGAATAAATATGGTTTGAGCACGCTGCCTTGGGGTGCACCTCAAGATGGGAACAAGCAGGAACTGGAATCATTAGTTGTTTCTGAAAAATGCAGTCGATTACAATCTCACAGTTTTAATGTGAGCTCTGCAGGTAAAAGACCGAGACTCGTGGTTCAAGGAAATGGAAAACCACGAGTGTCACTTTACTTCACTTTGTCCTAAACCCTCGAGCTGCTTAGATTCTGGCACTAGAACAGCGATGTCAAATGCATCTGAGGCCAAAAAACACATTTTCTGCTACAAGCCGAGGGTTCAATGTTAATTAAAACATACTTAGATGATTGTATATAACCGATTGAACAAAGACCTAACACAGTGTATTTTATTTAATGATTCAATGAATAATCCAATAGTCTCATCAAATATCATCCCGGGGCCAGGATCATTCATTCGTGACTTTGACACCCATGCACTAGAATATACAGTATAAAGTCAGAGATTTTATCTGTGTATCTTTGTGTAAAAGCAAAACAACTTTGCCCCAGTCTGGTCTGTACTAAACGTCTGGTTGTGGTCGTGGTGGAACTTCCTGTGCACGAGGTTTTTGACTCACTCTACAAAAATACAAATTGGCTCAACAGCTTTACAGTCCAACATCACATAATTTATTGTTTCAAAAGTTCGATAATATTTTGACCACATTTGTAATAGTATGAAGAGGACACAGACGCAGACAGACAGAGACTTAGAACAACATCAATAGTTGGAGAATCAAGCGAACGATTGCAAACGGACAGAAATATTCAAACACAAAATACATTGGATCCATTCTTCTGAAGAGGCTCTGGAAGTGAGTGCTCAGCCTGGGATCAGCCTGGGATCAGCCTGGGATCAGCCTGGAATCAGCCTGGAATCAGCCTGGAATCAGCCTGGAATCAGCCTGGAATCAGCCTGGAATCAGCCTGGAATCAGCCTGGAATCAAGACTCGACTTTAAAACTTTAAAACTCGACATTGTAGAGGGTCAGGGTTAGCGTCAGGGTTAGGGTTAAGGGGTCAGGGGTCAGGGTTAGCGTCAGGGTTAGGGTCAGGGTTAGCGTCAGGGTTAGCGTCAGGGTTAGCGTCAGGGTTAGCGTCAGGGCGTCAGGGTTAGTGTTAGCGTTAGCATTCTCAGGTCCTACGTCACCTTTGTAGCCGTTGACCAAAGCACCGGCTCCTCCATTGAACTTTGCAGCTTGGTCTCCTGCAGAGAACAAGAGAATAATATCCCAAAGATATGAACAAAATACATTTATACACCGGTATATTTCTAAGACCTTAAGACCCCTCCCTCGTTGGATTTGAAGATTCAAAAATGAAATGAGCTGTACTACACTTATTGTACATAATGATATCATGCACAAACTGTATTTTCAATCTTGAACATTCTGTCTTTTACAGAATTAGAGTGATTCTAATTCTTGGGGAAACCTTGGGGAACCGAGCCGCCCCCACTCTCCGGAACTCACTCCCTCAGCCAATCAGAAACTCAGACTCACTACAGAACTTTAAATCTCTTCTCAAAACCCTCCTGTTTCAGCCTTTCCCTAATTTTATTTCTCAATGTTTATTTTATGTGTAAAGCGCCTTTGAGTGTCCAAAATAGCGCTATAGAAGTTTGATGTATTATTATTGATTCTAAATATGCCACATGTAATAAAGTGGATTGGATTAAACTTCCCCGTGTGTGTGTCCAGTTTGGATTGGATTAGGATTAGTTTATTTGAAACGTTATTAGAGATTCTTCTTTATTATGCCAAAGTTAGGGTTAGTCATTGTTTCCTTGTGCTCCTCATTCTACTGTTCTGTAACCAGTGACGCAACAAGGAAATGTTGTACACACGCAACATTACACATACTACACACACACACTACACTACACACACTATACACACACACAACTACACTACACTACATACACGTACTACACTATATTACACACACACACACTACACTCATGTACTACACTACACACACACACACACACACAAACCGTATCTACATCTGGAGTTATTCATTCGCGCCACATGCAGCAGTTATTTCTACTTTCAGATAAGAACAAACCATAAAAGCAGTGTTTTATGGACTTCCTGTGTTTCTGGGTCATAACAGTCGAACATTGAGCAGCCGTTGATAAAACTGACTTTGTAATCGTGAGACGTGGTTAGACCGGTATATGGATAATTATCGTTTAAAGATACAGTCAATGATCTATCCAGTTTTTTTAATACTGTGGGAAACTTAAACCCAGTAGTTCTCATGTGTTTCCAAATAGGAATGGACACGACATAAAACATAAATCATATGTTGGAGTGGATTGATAGAAAGAAACGACACTGTAAAAAAGAAAAAGTTAGTTCAACTCAAAATTTCAAAGCAACCAGCTGCGAAGGATTTTTGAGTTGAAGGCATTAACTTAATTCTTCACGTTTTGAAGAACTACACTTATTAAGTTGTGTCAGCTAAGTTTTCCAAGTTCTGCCGACTAAAGCCTGGTTCACACGAGACGATTTTAAAATTGTCGGCCGATTTTTCTCCGTGTTAGACCCCACACGGGGAGATTAAAAATCCTGCGTCTAACCACTTTGGTCGTGCAGTGTGTGGTGCGTAGCCACACGGCAAGATCACGCAAGCCACAAACATCACACACGAACCGACACGCCCCCCCGAGCATTCCCAGGTCAGACGGAAATCTCACAAAATCTCTCGAGATCAAGCGTGACTTCAGAGTAAACAGTCATGGCGGACGAAGAGGATGCAGTGGCGATAGTGTGCAGTTTGTTGTTAACAGAGAAGACACGTAATCCAAAGAAAAGGCAATGGTCAAAGCCATGCTGCTGTGTTTTGGTTTTTTTCCGGTGTTTCCTCACCGGCTTGTCACCTCGTCTTCTTATTGGCTACACGCCGTAGTCATGGCAACGCGCTCGCTTGTCCTCGGAGGACACCACACACGACAAGAAATCGGGCCAAAACAATCCAACATGTTGGATATCCCCGATTTGAGATCGGGAGCAGTCCCGATGTCCTTCCGAGCGACGAGTGCAGTCTTAACACACCACACACGGCAGGATAATCTGTAAGATTTTGTTACGGAAATCGGAGCGTTTCTTAAGATTGTCGTAAGGGGTAAATCGGCCTAAATATCCTGCCGTGTGAACCAGGCTTAAGTTTTTAAATTCAAGTTACTGGAAATTCCAAGTCTGTAAAAACTTACTTTTTTGAGGTCAGATTACCGTCCCCTACAAAAACTTACTATTTTGAGTTTAAATTAGCCCCCTCATTAAACCATCATGATGTTTATTTATATAGCGCATTTTACAGACCAAGGTCACTTGGGTAGGGGAGACCGGAGCACCTGGAGGAAACCTATGCAGACACAGAGAACATGCAAATTCCCTTCAGAAAGACCCTATGTAACCCATACTAATGTTTCTAAGACTGACCCAGGGAATATATAGGGCTACTGTACTCTGGCTTGGCCCTGTCGATTACGGTTGGTAAAAATAAATACAATGATTTTTTTGGTCAAATTAGTTTGTTCAAAATGTTGAATGCAGCCAGTTGCCATGACAAATATTTAAATGAGCAAACGCAGATAAGTTGACCTCACTCTAGCTCGGTGAACTGTAAAAACGACAACTCAAAATTGTTCACCTTACTCAGATTTTTGCATTCACTGACAATAAAATCACCAGTTGGAACTGTCTGTTGTGAGCCACTTGAACTCACTTTCAGAAGATCACTACAACTTCAAAGTAAAATCAACTTAATATATCAAATAAGATGAATTTTTCATCAGAAACTTCTGAAAGTGAGTTCAAGTGGCTCACAACAGACAGTTGCAGTTCCAACTGGCAATTTTATTGTCAGTGAATGCAAAAATCTTAGTAAGGTGAACAATTTTGAGTTGTATTTTTTACAGTGCAATGGGATGCGTTGA